GTGTGTGTGTGTGTGTGTGTGTGTGTGTGTGTGTGTGTGTGTGTGTGTGTGTGTGTGTGTGTGTACTGTAAATCAACAACCGCTCAAACAGTAGTAACAAAAGCTTGGATAACAAAGGGGAAGGAAAGAAAGTTGTCAGTGAAAGCAACACAGCCCATAATATATAACAAGTCTGACCAAGCAAGAAAACTAATATGACATCTAAGAAGCACAGAGCCCCTGCAGACCCTCATCAAACCCTAATCACTTCCACTATCAGAGCTGCCTACACAAACAAAGAGAAACATTGAATTCTTCTGCAGGAATTTCTCTGGAGCGTTGAATAGCCTCACATCTCTGACTGCTCCAGCACAGCCTCATGGGAACGAATCAAGCCAAAAGGAACGACTCGCCAATCCCAAACTGATTTAATAAGACTTAAAATATGCTTAAAATACATCGACTTTATCAAGACCGTCTGTATTTGTGTGCAGAACATGCCTCTGCTTGGAGACAACACAGAGGGGTAAAGGCTAGAAAAATAAACACACGAGACAAGCTTTGAGACGCATATGGTTTGAGTTTGACTTCCTCTCTTTGTTTGCACCGTGTTCATAAGCTTCGAATAATGAGGGCAGCCTGTCTGGTGGAAATGCACACAGCGCCTCGATGGCCTGCCATGCTGGAACTGTGTCAACATTTAAATAGCCGGCTGCATGAGCTATGCTGCTGTGTACATAACGGCAGTGCAAAAAAAGACGAGAGCCTCCTTATAATAAGGGATGTCCCGATCACCTTTCTTTGCTCCCGATCCGATCCCGATCATTTGATTTTGACAATTTGCCGATACCGATTTTTCCCGATCCGATCTTTATGCAATGCATTAAGAGAAAAAAAAGCATTCAAGTTTTCCCTTAAGGTTATTTTTTTATTTAAATTGGATATTCTATCCAACATGGATATAGCTTCTTTCTTTCACAGCAGCATTGGATCAGTTCAGTTGTGCAGCATTGGATCAAAACAAAATAAAGCTTATCAGTACTCGTTAGCTTACTGCTACAATTAGACACTGCGCCCACTCTGTTGCCAGATTTGAGAGAAATAAGCAGGTCTATGAAAACAAGCCCCAAAGAAGCAACACATACATGATGTTCTGTCATTTGAAACCAAGACTAAGGCCTCAGGATGACTTTAAGACTTGAACATGGTCATTTTTGTTTTGTAACATTGAATACAAAAAAAGAAATAAAAAATAAGTAAAAAAATCCGATCCCCGACATCTCTACTTATAATTGTGGTATAATATTCATAAAAATGTTTCCTCAAAATTAGATTGATTGCACTGAGGAGAACCGATCAGAGGTTAGCCAAAAACTGAACCTCTGTTTACAAAATATCTCCTCCAGCTTTGTGTACATCTGACAGCCACTATTGACTATCCTATGAATACAAAGCAATGCTCTTGGCACAATCCCTTACATGGGAACGGTAAGCAGCTTCAAATGCAAGAAAATACCACTTTATTCTCACAGTCTAACGTCTGTTCTGCAGTTACTTAGTATATCCGCGCACCTTATATCGAATACTGACAGATAAGATGGTTGTTTTCATAAGCAGAGACGGCTCTATGTGTCCATCAAATAGAGTTAAAGTGCAGAATGTTATCTAAAGCCTAGCATTCCTGCATCTAAGACGAAAGGACGCTCTAATAGCCCAAACAGACGGCACCTCTCAAAGTGTCTGAACAGGTGTACATCTTATTAGGTTGTCATTTTTACCCTTTCGCTCCGAGCGGCAGGGTTTCTCCACCCTAATTAAAAGATGTTGTCAAAAACTAGAAATACTTCTTTGTCTCCTCAAGCTATCTGAAAAATATTGAGTCCTAGCTTTGCAGCTGCCAAGAAAAAGATGGTATTTCTTCAACGTGTTTGTGTCTGTCTACTCGCCAATATGGTTGTAGGGAAAGGTTAAAGCCATAAGTGCCATAAAACACACACACACACAAGATTGTATCTGTGCCAATTGCTGCCTAGTTAAACAGTGACAGAACCATTTATGGCTCAACCCTCTTCAGCGTATCTAGGTTTCACAATGTTTGCACAATAGCCCTTGTAAAGTTGCCATGCCTCTTTTTGCTTAGTGCACGCTGGTACGTCCAGTTATATTTAAAAAAGTGCTGAATCAGCAAGCGTTAAATAGGCAATTACGTAAAAAAATGCATCGAAAAAAGGATGCAATCGTTTCTTTACTGTGGCCAACTTGCAATTTCTCCTGCTATTGTACAGCTTGGACCTTTTTAAATGTCACTTTTCACTTGTTATATTTTTTTAATCAAATGTCTCTTTTGTAAATAAAGTTTCTGCAGCGCCTCAGAGTCATCTTGCCACCTGAAGCAGCCCCTCATCATTCCTCTAAAAGTTATACATATCTCTTTATACTCTTGCGACACATGCAGGATGTGGCGATGGGATTAAAGCTGAGGTTAAGTTCATTTTGTGCAATATCACAATGCTGCCTTGATATCGGCTGCAGACAGAGCAGGTTAGATGGAGGGTCAGGCGGATTAAGAGGGAGGGACATTTGAGGAAAATGGGCTTAAATTCTGTTACATCAGCAGGAAACAAACACCGGAACAAGAGGAAGAGATTAGAGCTGATATTGGGGGGAGAATGAAGAAGAAAAGGTCCTGAGATTTGAGCCCAATTGGCCCAAACGAAGGCCTCTCGGAGAACAATATGAGACCCCCGCCAAAAAGATTAAGAAGAAGCAGGGGGTCATTCCTTCTCTTTACTGCAAACAGGATGTGGAGGTGGGAAGAAGTGAAGTACAAATACCTCGTTTCTGTACTCAAGTAGATTGTAATTCTACTTCTCACATTTTCAAAACAGGCTTTCAGTTTTAATCTGCATTTGGTGGCGTGATCATTAGTATTTAGAGCAGGGGTGTCAAACTCAAGGCCCGGGGGCCAAATCCGGCCCGCGACCTCATTTGATGTGGCCCGCAAGAGCTTGCAAAGAATATTATATACAATTGGTGTAATTGTTGAATATTTGCTTTCAATTATTTGCCCTAGACTTCTGCTTTCAGACGGAGTTATTTATGAAGTTATTACGAGAACTGATAATAATCCAATGCAGAGGCAATAATGTAATATAATACATTATTTTATATATATTACATGTATATATATATTGAGAAGCCAAGAGTGTGCAAAGCTGTCATCAAGGCAAAAGGGGGCTAATTTGAACAATCTAAAATATAAATTATATTCTGGATTTTTTTTAACAATTTTTTGTTTACTAGATAATTCCCTATGTGTTCTTTTATAGGTTTGATGTATTTAGTATTAATCTACAATGTAGAAAATTATTAAAATTAAGAAGGTGTGTCCAAACTTTTGACTGGTGCTGCATATTTATATAGTTACAACCGGCCCTTTGAGTGTAACCATAATGCTAATGTGGCCCGTGATGTAATTGAGTTTGACTCCCCTGATTTAGAGCGTCTAAATATCTTGAACAAACTCCCAGAAAGCTGCAACTCTTACTATTTTTAACCCAGGCTGAAGACTTTTCTTTTTGCCGCTGCTTTTAATTGAACTATTCACATCTTACACTGCACTGTAACTTTCATTCATGTATTTGATACCTGTGTTATTCTGTATTTAGCTTTTTTAAATGCCATTTGAAAGTGTGTTTCCGCTGCACTATTTCCTAATGCTCTCAACGTTTTTGATTCCTGTAAAGCACTTTGAATTGCCTTGTGTTGAAAGGGGCTATATAAACAAACTTGCCTTGCCTTACTTCTACTTGAGTGAAGTGTGTGTTTACTTCTGCCATATCTGGGTGGCTGGGCTGGCCATTATATCTGCAGCAAGAAGCTCATTTTCACGGTTGTTTTAGCAGCATGTGTGTCAGTGAAGTACTCACCCTTGCGTCTCCATTAGCAGGTCGGGGTCCGTGGCTGAAGGCCTGCGCCGGGTCTTTGTGGTACACCTTCAGACAGGAGTGATCCGTGATGTTCCTGTAGGGAGTAGAAGTGTCCCGTGGTAAATAAGCAGTCCAGAGATCGCCGTCAGACAGCGGGCGGTCCTGATTCAGCCTGGATCTGAGTCTGTGCCTCAGCCCTGACAGAGGAACGTATCCTGACTGAGGCCCGTAGCCATACTCTGACAACCCTCTGTCATAAGACATCTCCTCTAAAGATCTCCAAACATCCACTAACACTGTGTTGAAACTCGTCTACAGAAAGCTCCTTCTTCTTCCTCTGCTGGTCGTACTCAGTGTGGTGTTGCAACCTGGACGCCTGCACCCACCTTAAGACATCACGAGACACTGTTTTACAGCCCAGATAAAGTATTAGTCACAAAGTACACATCTAGCTGCAGCAGGAAGTGTGCAGAGAAGGGGGAAAAGTTGGTTATGTGTTCAAGAGTAAAGTGGTGTTTCTGAAAAACTAGAACAAAGACAGTGTCAAGTCTGCTGTATTATTGACAAGGCATGCTCGTGAATACCAAATAAGGGAGGAACAAGTCAAAGTGCATGCTGTACGAGAGCACAGTGCACAATACTTTGGAAACTAAACCTTGAAAATCATTTGCAAAGTTCACATTATTCAAACTTTGCAGAGCGAGGACAGGACAACAAGTCATCTAAGCTTATAATGTGCTCTGCAGTTTGTTTGGGTCTGTTGGAGACATGTAAACAATTCATTCTATTTTAGGCGCCTTCCATGACACCAAGGACACCGTACGGTTTGTTAGAATGTTGGCTTCATTTCCATATAATGTTATTTATACTAAGTTTGCACACAATGCAAAAAGGAAGCAAGACTTTCCTGGCCAGTGACATTTCCTGTGCAGTGGGAAGTTTAGACAGGAAGTTCCCAGGGAGTGGAAAAGGACATAACCTCTGATGCCCAGATCCATGCAGCCCAACACACATTCTGAATCTCTGCTTAGCGTCTGTACCTGACATCGGTGAGCTCGTAGTACACGTTCCTCATGTCGTCTTTGACGTAGACGGCGACGCTGGGCGACTCCAGCATCTTCATGTTGAGCTGCGCCGCGAAGGCACTGACGAACAGAGCTCTGATGGTGTCGATGCCGGTGATCTCGTTGGGCATGCGGATCTGTTTGGTCTCGTCTCCGTACTGCAGGTACAGCACACCTGTGCACAGAGAGCAGGGGGTGAGCCACAACAGGTTCACTCTTTTTAATTAAATCAAGTATTTCCTATGACTAAGAGACACTTTGTAGGAAGTGATCCGTTGGTTCAGATTGTACTCAGGTGTTAAATAAGTTCATACCTTCCTGCAGTGTTATTTAAATTAGCTACTCAACAGAAATACATTCAGAATACAAAGAACTGGAAGTCTGTTTTCTTAAGTATTGACTCAGATATTACTTTTGTTAGACGTTCTTATCCAAAGCAATTCAGTCCTGTGGACAATCCCCACAGGCGCAGTTTGGGGTGAAG